CGCTGAAACTGTCCAGCTAATATCAATCGGTTTGTTACTGTTGCATTCCATCGTAACAAGGGCATTCATTGTCGGAGTCTGTTTCAGCTCTAAGATACCTTAGCGACCCTCAGATGCTTTCATCCGCCAACGGCGTTACACAGCCATGAGATGACAATGATGTCACCCACTGCTCAGGGAAGCAGAGACGGGTCATGCCACTTGTTCTCTCCCTGTGATGTCATTCAACTACCCTGATTTAAAGGCACGATGTAAATGGCTTCGTGACACCGACATCATCAACCGCCCTGATCCAAAAGCTTGTGATGTCATGTCGTGGCTCTGATACAAAACGGATGACTGCTATTTGTTAGAAACATGTCACATTTGTGACATTCATCTTGTTGGCCCTTAAACACAGCTCCAACTGATCACAAACGGTGACCACACACACAGAGATGTTTGCAAAAAGAATCCCAAAACACAAGGAGGCGACAAAGGGAAAATTCCAGGAGCGCGCTTCTATGGTCAACTCGCAGGAACATGTTTCCGCGGTTGAAAAGCAGGAACGGGCGACCTCAAAGCAGGAGACCAAAGCAAAGTTGCTTGCAAAAGCAAGAGAGCTGGAGAATGCAAGGGAACAGGCCAAAATGGAACGGCTGGAAAAAATACGAGAGTTGGCCAGAGCGGAGTTGAGAGTAACAAGTGCAATGCTCAGAGACATGGACCAACCGCCACCGACGGCAAAGGAGCTGCAAAGACAGAGGCGGCTGGAAAAATTTCGGGAGATTTTTACTTTTGTCAGATTCGATGAAGACACTCCTATCTTCTATTCCGTGGTTGGCAAGGAGACGCTCACAAATGAGAGACTGATGGAATACAAAAAAGATTTGCAGGCGATGGAGAGCAGAAGAAATCGAGTGTTAGAAGAGGACAAAAAGCAAGAACTTGAGGATTTTTGGAATGACAGAGACAAGAGATGCCATCAAAATTGCATCAATGAAAAGAGTTTCTATGATTATAATTTCAAAAAAATAAAGGAGAACCAACACTTGCAACAAATCCAGCAACAACAGGCCAAAGAAGAGCGGGACCAAGCCATGCGGCGTCGTGAAATGTACGCGCAGGAGGTTAAAAACGAAGAACAGAGAAAAGGCATATCCAAGAAAAAGCTGTACAAAGAAATACAGGAGGATATTTTGGACAAAAGCAAGCACAGAGAGTTGCTTGCACAGAATGACATGGTAGCGGAACAAAAGGCCAGATATGTTCAACTCGATTTAGATGAGAAGGAGCGGCAGAAGAAACTCGAGCACATCAGGAGGCTCCAAGACCACCAAATGCTTGTGGATGTCGTATCTGATAAATACGCCGGTGTGATACTGAGGCAGGCTAACTCACCAACTTGGAGGAACAAAGTTCAGTTATTTAAAGATTGATTCACGCAGCTCCACCGCATTCTATCACGATTTCTTTTGTTGTCACCCCAAAAAATAATGACTTTGGACTTTCTTCACAAACACGATTGGCATTGGAAAGTATTAGTCAGAAAAACCTTCGAGGCCCCCCCCAATGGTAACAATGGCTCAACTGCAATACAGTTTTTGCCAAACGCAAAAAAAAAAAAAAAAAAAAAAAGCTAAAAAAAACCCTAAGAAATGTTAATACAGAAATACCATTATAGTAATTCTTCTTAGTGAAAAACTTTGACGTTGCATCAGACTGTAGCAAAAAAAAAAAAAAAAAATCCGGTTAGTTTACAAATGCAAACGGCCTCCTGTCCCACGGACCTTGGAGTACTCACACTATTACGTCACTCTCTAGAGAGTTTTCTTTTACACATGTCGAGCATCCAAAAAAAAAAAAACAAAAAAAAAAACATGTCGAGCATCCAAGACTGGTCATCGATTAAAATATCTACTCGACCATATAGATTATGTGATGTCACCCCCTGAAAAAAAAAATACTGCTCCAAGAGTGTCAACAACCAGTGTAAGATAGCAAAGCAAATATTAGCGTCATTTTTAGGTCAGCCAATGAAGTCAGTTGACTCAGCACAACTCGGGCAGAAACTGTCAACCAACTCAAGATCTTCGCCACGATTCTGCCGCGGAGCGTTCGGGAGAGGTCATTCGTCGGTCTGCTGATATAAGGCGCCAACGGAGATAATCGAACAGCGTGTCGATAGGTCATGGACATATACAGTACTCATGTTTATTCATGAGGTTTGTATTTTGGTCACTGTGCACTACGGTTTCTCGGAAGTATTTATTATATAATCTATCCAGTATATTGCTACACACCATGTGTGTATTACAATCCCAATATCCGGAGCAAAATTCCACGAGTGTCTGGAAAATTAGTACACGTTACAGTCTACTTTTGAAAACAGCACCGTTTAATCTTCAATTTGAAAGAGTCTGAATTCACTTTATTATTAACGTATTCTCCAGAGGGGATAATTTAAGGAAAGTAGATTACTCCATGAAAGATTAAATAGGATTGACTCACATCGCTTTTTTTAAAATTCAGCGAGTTCTCCCAATTATTGCAGTAATATGAGTATGCTATTTAAACGATTAGCATGTCTTAATGCGATCCGACATCAATCATCGCTGAGGTTGTTTTTTTTTTCCTTCTTTTGCCAGTTTTAGCCATTCTTAGTGTGCTTTTTGTTATGTTTGTCTGCAGTAATATACATGACCTTCGGGGTCTCCCTACCCCCAGCATGCCTTGGAAGTAATTCTGTGCTACCGCCAACCTCATGACCATCAAAACGTTCTTTTCGGTTGGGTGGCTCAGGTGATAGAGAAGTAGACCGCGTCAAGTTTATTCACATTCCAAATTACTTTCCAGCCAGGGGGGTTGGGCTTGGGCTGCCATGATGTAGCGAGTCCATGGACAACATTTGTTTATTTTCTCTACAGCAAATATGTACAATGTAGTAAAAATGGATTATCACTCACAATGTGATGGAATCTTAATTTTTCTTTCTCGTTTATGTAACCTAAATCATGTTCATTAAAAAAAAAAAGTCAGTACTACTTCAGTGAACGGTTATAATAAAAAAGAAAATCCTGAGTGAGGTATTTTGTTTCATTGTTTAATCATATTGTCATCATTTTACAATGTTAATAATTCATGAATCGTTGAGGATGGACTTTGGAGTGCGCCATATTGGGACTTTATTATACCCTCGCTGGTATTTTTTCAGCAGCTTAATCGCCCGCAGACAAAATAGAGTGATGGAATGGCTGGAAAAGAAACATCAATAATTCACAATGCTGAAATGTGAAAAGTTGGAGCCATGGCCTCCACGCTCAAGAGAGTAGATTTAGCTCTTAGCTGTTTTGAGGAACTGTAGAAAGACACTGAATAAATACTTCCTGACAGAAAAAAAATAGTCCTGTGTTTTTATATGGTACTGTACAATTCTCAACAAAAATGTGCAAGCACCATGTGAACAGTAAGCCTCCCCCCCACTCCTATTTTCAGCTCATTTCTATGCGGTTAGTGCCATCTAGTGGTGCAAATAACATATATAGGTCTTTATCGACTGTATGCAGTACTCGTGACAATGACATGACAAGACGTAACAGAATAGTAACAGTAGTTCAGTTTTTGTCCAATAAACGTCTCATTGGCAGAGAAACTGACCTTGCTACCCCCCCCCCGCCCCCCGTGCCCCAAATATTCACTTCTTTACATTTTCTTTTGACAACTAACCAATATCAATAAAAATCAGGTTTTATGTATCTGGACTGGCAGGTTAGAAAATACTTACTTGTGGTGCTGATATTTTGGACCCCATGAATTGCCGCCGTGGTCTCCCCGCGACGACAACATGAGGCATTTCGATTTGTGTCTGCCAACTCCAGGATGAGCTGAGCTTTGTTGAGGCTCATTTACAGTCTGCTCTGGAATGCATCTTGCTTGAGGGAGGCCGAATAATTCTGTCTGAATATGATTCCGAGCAAACTTTAAGTGCTATTGCTCACCGATGGGTTATTGGAGGGTTTAGGGGGCTCCCAACTGAGTGTAGCTGTCCAGAAATAGCCAGCAGTGTCATTTTTACTAATCAATAAAAGTAGACACACACACATTCGGTACCGAGTGCACGCTCACACTTTACAATAAAGTACTATTTTCCATTCCTCTGGAATACCAAACAAAATCCATGCCCAATAGCAGAAATTGTTCTGCTTGTCATTATATGTCACTGGCCTAGATAGATGAACAGAGAGATTATTTGTTGTAAATAATTTTAACACCAAGCAAAATGGAATAATCACTGAACAAGAAGACTTTATATGGCATATGTAATTAGAGGCGAACGAACTAAAACCGCATTGATTCCAACTTTATGGGAATGCTCATCATTACAGTTTCATTACAAGTGGAACTCCTTCCAATGAAAGCAAATCATGATTTCTCAGTATGCTGATGAAAAGGGATTCTTTTGTTGGGCTCCACAATTGATTCTAAATGACATTTTGCGCCTCTGTCAAGGACCGCAACGATCTTCCTATCACTTCCTCCATTCTCTTTATTCACTCATCTAATGTCACTGTGGAATAAGAATCGGAATGTCCGTTGACAGGCCGTTCGCCTGGCCAACTTTGGACACATTATGTCTTATTTGTGCTCATCTTGGCTCAATCAGCCACTCATCACAATTCAGTTCTGTTGAATGCAATGATGAATTCATAACCAGATCCCAAGTTAAAATGCCTCATTTTACTGTAGCCTCCATTAATCTAGCCTGGGCAACGATTGGGGTGTGGTTATGGATTATTTTAATGCAAGTGCCTACGCCGTCATTGTGCTTGACCCTGACATTTAAATGACGATCTTATTTTATTTCTATCCCTATGACTAAACTGGCAACCATTCCGATTGTTATTATCATCATTATTTAATGGGTGCATGGCATGACTCTAACTTCCTTTTAAAGGTTTCGCGCACGAACACGCACGAATTTGTAATACCCCTTCCTCTCCACAAGAGGACGCCCCAGTAAAGGCAATTTTGCACTGTCGTACCCTCATTGGGGCACTGACGTTCCCCAAGGTCATTCTATTAAAAATCCTGACCAGCAACTTGACTCCTATGCGTTAAATACATACAAAAAAATAATAACAATTACCTGCACATTTTCCTCTTCAAGGAATCTTTATTCATTTGGTCACATCCAAGTTGAAACATCAAAGTCAACATTCCTGCAGCCGTAATATGACCGTTTGCCGTATTAAGAGCGCCACTGCTTCATGGTCACGACTAAAATGTTCGTGGTAAAGGAACCGTTGACTGTCCTAGCCATGCAGAATGGTTCCGCAATACCCCGCGGTCCATTTCTCAGTATCAGACAAAAAAAAAAAAAAAAAACATACTAACATCGCTTGCACCACAAGTGGCACTTGTCACTCTGCGGCTGCTCTCGGCGGGAGATGGAGACGAGAGGAGGCGGTGGACTTTAACAAGGGATTTACTGTTGCTGGGGCTTCGGAACCGACCCGGGCTTACTTTCTCTCTCAGCATGGTGCAACAATGAAGTCTGATCCGCACCTTGACACTCACTCTGGATCGCCGTGCACCTCAATGGGAGAATACGTAGGCTTCAGGTAAAGAAAGAAAAAGAACGAAAGAAAACAAAGAGCACAAAAAAAAATGCACATTGACATTCGACGTAGCGATGTGCTGTAATGCATGCTGGTGAGGTAACAAACCGGCTCAGTCCGATCACCTGTTGCATGGCAGTCGGTGCTGAATTCTCACAAGCTATACCGGGAACGCGCTAAAAATGACCTCGACGAATAACTTCCTTCAAATGTGTTTTTATAGTTTTGCGTGACAATCGTAACTCGTCCAAAACAGCGAAGTAATATTCAATGCATAATTTCATAAAGTGCCAACTAACTCACTGACGGAGTTGCTTCATGAGATCTCACAGCGACAACAAATGATCTTAAGGACATTGATCTGACACGGTTTGCGTTTTATAGATGCATTCCAACACTTTTATGATGTTTTGTTTAACTCGTTGTGCAAATATGTACAGCAGAATATTAGAAGCAGCCCAGTGCTTACAAACACATTACATACCATTGGGCGCTTTACGCTGTTTCTTCATTTAATGACGCAGCATCGGGAGCAACTGGGGGTTCAGTATTCTAAAGGTTACTTAACTTATAGTGTTTTATTAGAAAATATTGTCAGTACTTCCAGAGAGGAAGGCACAGCGGTAAAACGGCACGCAGGAGTGTTAAAAAAACGCATTAAAAACGTGATTATTGCAGACTATCCCCTTTAAAAAAATGTGATTCAACTTAATACCACCCTGCGGGTGTCCTTCAAAACTGCCTTGTTTTTATGTAACGCCAGCATGGTTTGAATCTGCCGTTGAACCCAACGTCGTGGCCTTCAACACCGCACGCATCCATTCGGTCTCGATTCGAATAAAACGCGCGTGGCGCTGCGGTTCCTCCCAGCGTGAGTGAGTCACATCCCCGACACTTGCTTGCTTTTAACAACAGCGACTTAACCAACGGATTTTCCAGTCCCTTGAAAAGCGACTGGGTGCTCCCTGTCGCTATGCCTAATTCCTTAGGAACCGGTGGATCCAGTTTGATCCATCCCTCGTCTTCTTTCCTTCTTCGCTGCCCGTCGAGTCTTCCCTTTTCCGACGTCCCTGTTTGTGCATTAGGTTGATTCGGGTCCGCGTCGAACTTTTCCCGCAGTGATCATTCTATTTTTTTTAAGTCATCGGGAGGCGCGCATAGGAACAAGGTGACCATGTCAACGTTGAGGGAAGATGCGCTCCTTAACTTTTCCATGCGCTACTAAAACTTGCTGGCATCACGTTCCTGGCCGGGTTTCTTTAATAGCTTTATTCAATAATGCAGAGCTCCCCTGCATTATTTAAATATCACGAGTGGAAATAAGTGATTTGAACTTTTGGGGTCTTTAAAAGGGGGGGAGGTGGAGACGACCAACCGTCCCCTCCCTCAGTTCTCGACTGAATTTGAAGTAATTTTGCTCAGGGGGAAACACTTGAAGGTAATCGTTTCAGCTCACCTTATTATTATTATTTTTTTTTTACAGCTATATGATGTTCATATAACTCCATGATTGCTCACCATTCATTTTCCAGGTCGTGTACAAGTAGTTTTTCTTGGGTGTAACTAGGCCAAAGTGACGGATCGGTGAGGTGACTGAATGTGAGGGCAAGAATTAGATGATGGCAGTTGTAATTAAAATACGTGACATGAATGAATAATTATTTGCATCTAAATTGATTCAACAAAGTGCGGCGCGAAACGTAATTTGAATATGAGCAGAATGGAACAGTATGGAACGGATGAATGAGTCATGAAATTGCAGTGATTTAAATATTTTTTTATTTATTAAAGATAAGTGAACGCAATTTTACACTGATGTTATATATTGAAAATACAGGCAGATACAAATGTACTCTAACGCTTCACATATCATGTCCAGTGCTCCAATTCTGGGCCATTCAATTGCTGGTACGTGTTACCTATGACCTCTGTGATTGCGTGTCAGCGATTGGTGTGTCATTCACATTGACATGATGCATAATCACCACCGCATACTAACTGAGAGTAGTTACAAGAAATGGGTGCGTTTGCAAAAAGTGGATGGTAATGACAGCATTCTTGTCTTCTCCTCAGCCGCACCACCACAGCACTGGAAATGGAGGCACCCAATGGCTACGCTGCTAGTAAGTTCTTGCATTGCATCGACACTCCAGTCATTGTAAAGCAACTTCCCTCAAAGTGAACGCGTTTGAAAACGATCTTTTGGGGGTTTTGTCTGACCTCACTGACCTTGACGTGCTTTTACGATTGGGCCGGCTTGGCGGGAATTTGAAACTTCTGAAGTGACTGACCTTCGTAAACTGTGAATTAGTTCAAACTTCGAGACACATTTTTTTTCCCATTGGACATCATGGATGTTGATATAATTTATTCTGCCCTCCAACCGTTGCCGTCGTAATACCAACCGTGAAGGCAGTGTTTGAACATTCGTAGCAAAATCAAAACGCGTTTAAAAATAAGATCTTCTTTTGATCATCGTGTGACTAAAAATGAAAGTATTGCTCACCCTTGGATTATGTAGGTGGAGCAAACATGGAAGTGAGCGACAAACTCGCCATTTAATTTGATGACACAGACTCATGGCATGTTGGAAAACATGCAGAGGCAGGATTCCAGCAGTTGTTCTTTTCATAATCCCGTCAAGTTATTGTCACCGAAGAAAGATTTTTTTTTTTTTTTTTGACTGAGCAACCAGGACAGATCATTTTCCAAAATTACGATAAGGTCAGTTTCGAGATCACTTGTCATCCTCTCACTTTTTCCTCCTCGCCGTCACTGACAGATTCGGGGTGTGTTGGCATCCACCCCAAAAAAACACACACACACACACACACACACACACACACACACACACACACAAAAAGGGAGTTTATGACCCACGCTCGCTGATCTGAAGTCACACGATTGCCAATATAGCCTCCAAGTTTTTGTGCACGGCGGATTCTTCCAGGAAATATCCTTCACTTAAAAGGCATTCAACTTTGGAGTTGATGCCGTATGATTCAAGTGATTGTTCCTGTTTGTGATTGACACGAACTTGATCAATTTAACGGCTCTCCCCATGAAACATCCTTTTTTTTTGAAAAAATCTGTTGATTCTAAAGTGAGAACTAAATAACCATGAAATATTGCAAAGGCATGTACAGGCACGTTGTTGCTCTGCTCGTTGACTTTTGGCAGAGTTTCTCGATCCGTGTCACTAAAACCAAATCGTTTTTCGTGACGTTGGTGGCAAGTCGTATTCACATGAACTCATGTTGACAGTGGCAATCTGGGTCACGGTGAATAAAAATATGCAAGGACTTGCTTGTCCCATCCATGCCTTAGCTATGAAAGCTAACGTTAAAAGAACTCCTTGGTTAGCTTGATACTGCAGATATGTACGCAAGTCACAGGAGTGGATCGCCTCATTGTTTTCATTTAAACTGACGGGAATGTGAGGTCGAGACAAATAGGAAAGAGTATCTTCAGATTCGAATGGATGATAGAATCAAGTGCATGTCACATGTGCAGTTTGTAGCCTGCAGGTGAAATCAATTGCATTGTGATAGCAATTGCTTGTTGCTACTTCTGCTGTGTGTGTATGTATGTGTGTGTGTGTGTGTGTGTGTGTGTGTGTGTGTGTGTGTGTGTGTGTGTTTGTGTGTTTGTGTGCATATGCGTTTGGACGAAGAACACTTTTTTTGAGTGAAAATATAACACTGCGTTGAATTCCGACACCGCAATTTCAGGTGGCTTTAAAAAAAAAAAAAAAATTTTTTTTTTTTTTGGACTATCATTTTCAAAATATAATTTGTGGTGTACCCTGTGGTATCATGCTTCGATTCTTCGGTAAAACGTCATGTCTTAATTTACATCAGCTTCAGTTTGTTGCAGGACCAGTATTGTCTGTTGCATGAACATGCGTGTGCGCGCGCGTCTGTGTGTGTGTGTGTGTGTGTGTGTGTGTGTGTGTGTGTGTGTGTGTGTTTGGAGTGGATGGAAGACTGAGAGGGAGGAGGGGCAGAGGGGGCGGTTGACAGGAAAAACCACATCCCAACCGCACAGGAGAATGATTGTGTCCTGCCAGACATTATGATTGCAGGCCAAGTGTGACTCGAGTCTTGCTTAATTGACATGAAGCCGTGTTTACATCAATCAGCATACTTCAAGTTAGCGTGTACCTGAACAATAAAACCCTTTCTGGTCATGTCAATAAGTATCGTGACTCAACCGGGAACATTTATCAAAGAAGAGGAATGTGAAATCCCTCAAGGCACAAACAGGAGCGTACCTTAATGCGTACGTTGTCGCACCGCAGCAAATAAATATGGTGAACATTCTCGAGGGCCAAAATTTATAATATAAAACATGTTCAACTGGATAGATGATTGTTTAATTATCTGAGCATTCTGAAGCGTAAAAGGCCAGGATGAGACCAATAAAATGGCGAGACGTGGGATCGGCATTTTCAGCACACACACACAAGGGCTGCATTTGACGATTATTTTTATAATCGATTGATCTGTCGATTATTTTATCCATTAATCCATGATACAAAAAAAACATTTTAAATTCCAGCCCTTTCTTCAAAAGCACAACTTTATTTCGAATTAACAGTGCAGACGTAAATAAATGATGATTCGGTCCAAGTTATGGTTCGTAATGTTTAACAAAAAAAAATCTGCAAAAATGTTGATCGTTGTTTTCCCAAATCAAAAGCAAAAAATGTTTTATTTTGTTTCAACACCATGCTAATCAATTGCCTTTCATAGGGGACGACAAAAATTGGGTGTTTACTGTTGGGAAGCGGAAATTCTGAACAAGCGCATAGCCATGTCGGACAATTTTGAATTTAAAAAAAAGATATCCACATCATTCATTGATTATCAAAAATAATAATAGATAAATTTGATAGTTGATTACTATCGATCTCTCGCCAACCATTTTCTAATCCGCTTATCCTCACGAGGGTTGCGGGCGTGCTTGGAGCCTATCCCAGCTGTCTTCAGGCAGTAGGCGGGGTACACCCTGAACTGGTTGCCAGCCAATCGCAGGGCACACTTTGACAAACAACCGTTTGTGCTCACAATCACACCTGGGGACAATTTAGAGCGTTCCATTAGCTTGCCACGCATGTTTTTGGAATGTGGGAGGAAACCGGAGTACCCGGAGAAAACCCACGCAGGCACTGAGAGAACATGCAAACTCCACACAGGAAGGCCGGAGACGCAGTCGAACACCCTGCACCTCTGCACTGTGAGGCAGAACCAGTCCACCAGTCACAGAAAGAGAGAGAGAGAGCGTCATTTTTTTCTGTCATACTGTTTGTGATATATTTGTTCGTGGTGTGCTGTGAGATTTTTCACATGCGAAATGAATGCCTCGGCTCAATAATAGTTTGAGGAAATACTGCACAAACGTCATGGAAAAAAATGTTCCAAGACAAATCTGGGCCATGAGATCTTGTCTCCAGGACAAGTTTCCCCAGGGGTGAACTCACCCTGGTCACCTGAGATTTCCTCAGAGTCACGCAACCCGAGCCCAGACCTAAGGATTGTGTCATCCCATGCGGACATCATCCTCCAGTTTGCCCCTGTCAGGGGAGCTGCAGCTAAGACCGACCAATGAGAGATTTTCTAACAAAGTTGAGCTGTCGCAATAAGTGAAGATTAGAGGACTTGTTTAAAAATCAGTACGGGCATCCTGTTTGCCCGTAGCCGCCGTATTGTTCAAGTGACCCCCCCTGACGGAGGAGGCCGCAAGAGAATAAGGGATTGGTTTGCTCTCCCTCTGAGTGGACGCGGGCTATCCGTAGCCTGAGCCGCCGAGAGGTTGCAATCCGATCCAGGTTTGCTGGACATTAGGATACCGTAGTTACACAAGGTCGGTTCACTTAGTTTCCTTCGGCATTCAAGCGGTGTTACCTTCACGGTTGCCATTCAGACACAGAAGCAGAAGAAAAATGGTCTGTGCTTTATTTAATTCTGTTAAAGAAAAGCCTATGTGCGCAGTTGTACGGTATGTGAAGTATGCGGTGTATTGGTAGAAATTCAATGCATTTTCAGTGACCTTTACTGCCCTTTACCGAAGGCATTCCTATCTCTGGTTAATTGTTTTCCTCACCTGAAACGTACAAGCCACTGTGTCCTTTTTCACACTGTGTCTGGCTTGACTCCCAATTTTGATTCTTTTCATCGGTTAATTGTTTTCCTCACCTGAAACGTACAAGTAAGCCACTGTGTCCTTTTTCACACCGTGTCTGGCTTGACTCCCAATTTTGATTCTTTTCATTGTCCCTTTCAGTGACGTTCTGGATTAGGTGTTCTTCTCGTCTGATTTGTTTCGCCCTACATGTCAACTAGTGGCAAAGTTAAATTAAATTGCACAAAAGACATTTCAGCACATAATACAATGGAACCGTATAGCAGAGGGCCACAACACTGATCAACAACTTTCCATCGAATCGTTCACTTGGTGACGTCACCCAATTTCTAGGCTGAGTTCACAGCGACCTAAAAGCTGAAGTCAACTCTGCCCACGTCTGTTGAATGGCAAACAATGGGCAAAGGTTGCTGCGCCCCTGGGAAAGAAGCCAACATGAATCATCAAGTCAGACACCCAAAAATACATCATTCCATAACGACGCTGGAAGGACGAGGTCATTTTATTTCGGCTCACAATTTTGGAATTCAATGACTACTCCGACAGGAAACACTGCACTCTACCGGGGCACTGCACCTTCGGGCCCCCTCAAATATAGAGTGACCGCTCGTACCTTTGAAACAGCACCATGACGATTGCTGACTTTCGTTTTGTCTTTTAGGTAATGGCCAATGCTCTCCAGGTAAGGAGAAGTCAAGAATGTCAACATCCAACGGAGAAAATGAGCCTTATGGTCGTAATTCCCCCAGCGGTGAGTGATCATACATACACACGTGTGTGTGTGTGTGTGTGTGTGTGTGTGTGTGTGTAATATATATATATCACGAATCCATTCACCGAGTGAAACTGACATTTTAACATTTTTGTCTGTTTGCGAATCCTTTTACCGCAGACGCGGCCGCTAAATGCGCCGTGCTCTGCCCGGCTTGATAATTTGCTTCAAATGTGAAATACATTTATAGCAGAAATTGTTTCAAGTAATCCTCACTTGACCACTTGAAACATTCAACTCAGTCACACTGAGAGGAGACAGATGTAAAGATGCAAGGTCTGCTCCTTGTTGCCAAGGATACGGACGGGAAGATGAGGCTGGTTGAAGATGTTTCTTCCTAAAGTGGAACTATAAATTGCAAGCTTTAGAAGCTACGTGGGCATTTCTGCCGCTAATTTCTTCCTTTCCTCATTCAACGCCTTGCACCAAAGTTGAAACTGTTAAAGGGAGTCGCCTGAAGGGACAAGCTGAAGGATGTAGTCTGATTGGAAGTTAAACAACCCAATGTAGTCACGGCGTTAGTTTTGCTGTTGTAAATCCCAAAACCGGATCATCTGGACCAGTAAGTTTTATGTCCTGACACTTTCACACACACTCCAACCTACAAAGCCCCTTTATACCAGTGGTGACATCTCACAGCAGAGGCACCTCACGTTTATGAGAAGAAAGAAATGAATGAACGAGGGGCTTGGGGGGGTAATGCAAATGTAGTCAAAGGAAAAACAAAGAGTGCACAGACTTCCTCCAATGCATAATTCAAAAAAGTGATTTATTTTTTGTAGGAACGACTTGTAGCTGAGTGCTGTCATCAAGTCTTTTTCTAGAAAATCTTTTTTCACGCTCATCCATTTTGTCATTGGATACGGCGATCTGTATGTGTGGATGGACACATGTGCTCATAAGTTTACACTGTATGAGATTTTCTTGATGGAAAAGGAGTAATCACCTGATTTGCGCTGATTTGGAATGGGCTTCCAAGTCCATGATCAGGAATTTCAGAATGGAGCAATCATGAAAAAAAATATAGTCATGAAGAAAATAAGGAGATGATCACTTATAACCAGCCCTGCCCCGAATTGCCAACAACTCATACCCCCCCCCCCC